GCTTTACGATAGATCGTCTGGCACTCTACATAACTGATGAAGATAAGACTCTCAAATCATGGAAGAAGGTGTCTGAATTTGAACTCCAAGCCATTTAGGCTTTTGTATAATTTACTACTTGTAATTGTAAACTTCTAAAATCTTTAATTAGCTAGTAATTAATAAGTTTCTGTCATTTGTAGACGCCTTGCATATGTTTGCGATTGTGATTTGTAAACATTTGCTTCCAATAATAAAATCGGCTTCTTAGACCTATATGAAGTTACGTACTACTTAACTTAGGTTTATTTTTAATAAGGTAAATAATTTAGATGATAGGTCTTATTGAAACGAACTTTACACTAGTGAACTCAATTCAAATTTATATGCCAAACGGCCCAAACCCTTAAGAGAGGAAAAAGTCTTTATTATTATTTCAATCTTAAGGTATATAAATTAAAGGAGGTTGGATCATAAACACCGTACAACAATGTTGCTTCTAAATCCCCAATTCAAGCCATGCATGTTGCCCAAAATCTTGATGTTTGGGTCATTATATTCGTATAGTAGGGGCATACTCTTCAAAGACATATTCTAACAAGTGCATTATATATTTATTAATCACAAAAATGATCTGATAATATCAAATTAAGCAATCAGTACTAGTGTCATAAAATAGAATTATACAGTATATAGCACACAGAAATGATGGAAAGAGTGAAAGGATGAACTTGAAGTTATACGCTATGAAAGTATGAAAACACATTGCATTGTAAATTTGTAATTCCCCAATTTCAATCCTTCCAAATAAAAATGTGCTTTATAAAATGATGATTATCTGGCAATAATATGCTTTTTCCTTGGACAAATGGACAGGTAAGATAATAAGGGATTCCATTGGAATTAAGTGGCCAAAAAGAGTTATTCTACGCTTAATTATGATAATTAGCCGCGTAAAGACAACGCAACGTAACACAAAGTTATATTCCACTCCCACTTGTGACAATAGTAGTCTATCAACTATGTCATCTTCTCACCTACAAAAAGATATTGTAATAAACAGACTTGTATAATCAACTCCCACTCCATTTTTAATTTTTTCATTACTTTGACTTATTTCATTATCCATACTCTTTTGTACTTATTATTTTACTATTGTGAAATGAATACGTGTTATTATATAACATGTTTCGGGTGAAAACAATGGGACCTTGTCGAAGGTCCGATGAAGTGGAGAAGACTAGATTCGATCCAAGTAATGTTGGGCGAAGGTTTCCTGCACAGTAAACACACGTAAACTAGCCTCGGGGGTGCTGCCGAGGAAGGCCCTTCCGATGCTAAAGTCAGTACAGTGCGTAGAAAGAGTACACTATGCAAGAGAATTAGTTGCTTGAGGCTTTTCTTGAATGAATGTACAAATGTAATATTGATGGCTTTTATACCTCTGCATATATGGAGAAGTTGGGCCTTAGCCCAATTGGCTAACCTTGAGGACTGATCTTTGACTTTAGCACAGTTGGAGAGATGAACCTTGACCTTGGGCTTTTAATTGGATCATTTAATACCTAAGCCCAATTGGACTAAATTGGACCCAAACATAACATATTATTGAAATGCCTAATTTCATAATTTAATTTTTTTATAATAAAATATATATCTCGGTAAATATATTCTCACAAGATGATCCAACTCTAATCTGCTACCCTGTAATATCCCTATGTGCGGATATTAACGTAAAACGTGAAAGCATGATAGACATACTCCAAAAAATAACATTTGCCAGGCTTATATAAATACAAAACATGACGTATAATTCCTACTTAAAAAAACATATCATTCCTAAGTCCACAAATTCGTTACCATTTTTCTCTTTCAAAAAGATTAACCTCATTCGTATCCGTCAATGTCTCATCATACGATAGATCGGAAGCCATCAGGTGACGAGGAGGGGGCGTACGCGGTGTGGGCGACTCCATCAAAGGATGCAAAGATCAGGCTGAAGAAGTTGATGAGCGGCTTACGATCGAAGTTCGGTGGGCCCAAGTTTGATCCTCATCTTACTGTTGTAGGGCCAATCAGTTTAACGGGAAAGATGCAACAGAGAAATTTCGGGCAGCTTGCCGGGGGTTGAAAGTTTATCCTGCTCAAGCTCAGGAAATTTCTACCGGTAATTCTTTCTGGCAGTCTGTTTACCTCCGCCTTGACGCCACCCCGAGGTACAAATACTATTTCATTGGATTATAGAATCTTATTGTATTCTTCTCAATATATATTTTTATAATATGTATAAACTATTACTAAAACAAAACATGTTGATGTCATCAATTCCTAGAATGTCTTACGTGTCAAACTCTCGTTAAAAAATCTCTCTCCAAATTTACATATATGATGTCATCATTTATTTATTTATTTTTATTATTTTTTTCCTTCCCTTTTATTTGCTAAAAATAAGGACTTTGTTAGGTATGAAACTTGGCTTTCTCTCCCATTCTAATATTTAATAAATATAGATATTGATTGCTAATTATATGAGCATTTCATTCCTTTAGCTTCCATTCTAAACGTTTATGCTCAAATAGATAATACAACATTAAATATATTTTGTCTAACCATTATTTTTGCATATTTTCAATAACATAGTAAATATTATGATGTAGTATTAAATAATAACAATTTAAAAATGACTATACACATGTTTTTTTTAATATATAAATAATTAAGTGAGCAAGTTATTTTAAAGAGTTATCAACAAAAGATATAAAAATATGGAAATTATTTATCACGACCATACAACGAGCGGGTACTAATCTAGTATTTTTATAAAATTTGAATGTTTATATATAGACATATAGTAGTCATTCTTAAAATGACTATCACTATACTTAATTTTGAGTGGTATATTTTTCTTTACCAAACTTATTTAAAATGTTTTTTCTTTTTTAAAAATATATTTTTTTTCAAGAATTTAATTTTAAAAAAATTTCAATAATTTAGAAAATTAATTTCTAAAAAAACTGAATTTTCAAAAAGAAAATTCATATTTTTATGAACGATTTTCCTAGAAATTGCTTAATTGTAAATCAATTTCCTATTTATTTGCATCGGTTCAAAAACTTATTCTCACAATATGGTCCGCGTAGGATTGGTAGAAACTTTGTGTTTTTTTTATTTATGTTCAGTAAAGAACCGCTAACGATGATAACGGTTCTATACTTATAAAACTGCTAACGTCGTTATCGGTTTCTTGTATTACTTCCTCTGTTCTTTTTTACTTTATCTGTTTCTTTTATCACGCTTGTCAATGCAAAACTTTAACGATCAACAACTTAATTTTCCATAAGTAAAAATTATGAAGTTATACATTATGATAGTACTTATTGAGACGAATTCAAAAAGATCCCACATGAATATGTTTTTCCTTACATATTATTTATTAAAGACGGTCAAAGGAGAGGTGATGAATAGTATAAAAAGTCAAAGCGGGACAAGTGAAAAAGAACAAAGGAAGTAGGTTTTAACCTGTGAGGTTTCCTAATACAAGAATCGTTAACGTTGTTAGCGGTTTCATAAGCTATCACCGTTAGCGGTTCTTTGTAAAAAATAAAGAAAAAAAAAAGCTTCTACCAATCCTACGTGGACAATATTGTGGGAATAAGTTTTTGAACTTTAGGGAAATCTTTTATATGTTTGACCAACAAAAAATAAATCAAAAATCTGTCAATAGCGGGTACAATTTTCAATAAATATTGTATACCCTTAATGACTAATGTGTAGTGAATGTATTAATTCTTTTATACATGCATGGAAAACTAAGAAAACAAATCTATTAACTATTACTAAAACAGAAAACTGTTGTCCTTATCCTCTCTCCCAAACTGTATATGTGTCGCTTTCTCATAAAAAAAATTTCCCGCTAAATGCACTTATGATATCATATATTTTTTTTTTCTCAGGAATTGGTTATTTTTTTATGTTTAATCATTTTCATTTCAATCTTTTGACTGTGTCAATAAATAAATAGATAAATATTTTTTTTGGGTTGGAATAAATAAATTGATATCGAGCTAAAACTTTTTAGGTAACTACGAAGTTTTTTTTTTTAGGTTTTAATGTTATTATTATTTTATTTTTTTAAGGATTCTATGAAGTAAATGTTAGCATTATTTTGTATTTTCAAGGTGCTTCTATTTATTTAAATTAGGATCTTTAAATTACAAGTATTTTTATTTTGATTTTGAACTCTTAGATATGGAGTATACAAATTGATATGCATATGGTTTGATTAGATCAGATTGGCTTTCATTTTTATATTTTGTTACTCATGTAATTTATGATGATAGCTACATATCTTTTATGATCTAATTTATAAGTATATGCGGGAAAATAAATAATGAAAATAAGCTATTTTATTTCAATAATTTTTGTAATCCGTGCATCACACGGGTCTAATCTAGTGATAAATATAAAAGAAACTTGCGGTATTTAAAAACAAAATAGAGAAAATTTATATTCCAATAACAAAGTGTTTTATGTGCGCTGGTCATACCATATGGTCACTTATAAGAAAAACAAAATAATCCCTATAACAGTGATATCTCTATCACAGTGACAAAATAACTCCTATGATGGTTGGTCATACAGTGTGGTCAGCCACATATGAAAGTTTGTGAATACTTATTTTCTGATAATTATAAATTAAGATTAAAAATTACATAAATGAAATTGAAATTTTATAGATAAAAATGTTGACGATACTATTTTATACAAAAAATAAAGTAAGACTCCATATAAGTTATTATTATGAGAAAACTATGTCAATTATGAACTACATAATTATTATATTTTGTAAAAAAAATATGGTAATTATATTTCAAACGGCTATTATAAAATTTTCAAAATAAAGGGTAGCCTTAATAAGTTCTAATCCTATCTTCGAATAAAAAAATAAATAAATAAAAAATAAAGATTCTCAGCATTTGTTTGTATAAACTTATATTCTGACTTTTACCGTATATAATTTTGAGTTATTTACTTATCTAAATTTTTGTTATTTGTCACATAATCTCTCATAGGTGCTTGGAATTAGTAGTCATTTCGATGAACACTTTGGCAACACCCGTACAACACGTAAGTTTGAAATGTTGTATTTGAGCTTATTAATTAATCATTTTACATTTTTACATTATTAACCATTTTACATTTCTGTAACTAATAGATTGAGCCTAATTCACTATTGCTTGCATTTAATTTGTTACTAACAATAAAAAAATTTTGTAGCTTACTTACCACACATGAGCCTTCTATATGGAGACTTGACGGATGAAGAGAAGAATGAAGCCATAGACGAAGCTAAAACCCTAGATGACACCATTGATAGCATGAGCTTCGCGATAGATCGCCTAGAACTGTACATTACTCCTGATGATAAGACTCTCAAGTCCTGGATTAAGGTGGAAGAATATGTGCTTTGTGCACATTAATCTACATTTTTTCCAATCTTATTTGCACTAAATTTGTGGCATACATTATACTTAAGTGTCCATGTATTGTTAAAGTTCATGTTGATGTTTCTGGAAGGAGGACTACTGATGTATGTTGTTAAGCGTACCTTATGCTGTTAGATTGAAGTTTTTCATGTTGCTTTTATTTGGTACTCTTGGTCAGATTTTAGGGAAAATATACTTTAATAATCCCAACTTTGCTCAATTTATTTTAAATAGTCTTAACTTTTGATTATTGCAATAATTCTAACTTTTGCTTGCGTTTTCTTTCTTCAATCCCGTTACCGGTAACCTAGAGAAAAGGTTAAATTTTTTTGTAAAAACATATAATTGACACGTGTTGCCTGTTTATTGGTTACCAAAATTAATAAGTTTTTTTTTTTGGAAGGGAATTAATAAGTTTTTTTTAAAAAAAAAAAAAAAATCAAAGCCCAGCCAGCCATGACCACCGCCGGTGGCCACAGCCTCCCTAGCCCAGCCCTATTTCCTTCCCCGATTCTTGATTTCTGGCGCCCAGCATCAATTTCCGACACCTCCATTGCTTCCCCCACCCCGCAAACCTGCCCCCACCAATTTCCGAAGCCCCAAAACTGTAGTCGTCGGGAGAAATTGGGACCACTTTTGAAGGTGGGAAGGGAGGAGGTCTGTTTCCGGGTTAAGAGAAAGGATGGGGGGTCGGTTTTAGTGGTGTGGGAAAAGGGAGGTGTCGGTTTCAGTGGTGTGGGAAGGGAGGAGGTCCATTTAGGGGGTTGCATTGGGGAGGGGAATGGTACAATGACGGCGTTGTGAAGGGTGATGGCAGTGTCCGAGGTGGGGTTAGGGTTGGGGGGCCGATTTTCGGTGTAAGGGGTGGTACAGCGGCGGAAATCGGTGGCTGGTGGCTGGTTGGTTCTAGGGTAGGCTTGGGAGAAGGCCACCGTTGGTGGCCGATGCAGTGGCTGGTGGTTTGGGCTTTTTAATTTTTTTCCTTTTTATTTTTTTTATTTTTTAGGCCAATCACGTGTTGACACGTGTTAGGTAACTTAGAATAAAGAGTTGTTGACTTTTGTTGACCTGTTTGAGATTTTAGAAAGAAAACGTTGGTGAAAGTTGAAATTATTGCAAAATAATTGAAAATTGGGATTATTTAAAATAAATTGGGCAAAGTTAAAATTATTAAAGTGTATTTTTCTCAACCTTTATTATATTTGGCAATGTGTCCAAATAAACCCAAATATGAGTAAGACTAGTCATCCCATGCATGAGTTACTGATCTAGGTGATACGTTGAGTCATTCTAGGGCCTCTAGCCACGTTCAAAATTACATAGCATGGTTTTTTATTCATTGTAATGAGTTTATATATATATATATATATATATATATATATATATATATATATAACCATTGTGAAGGTATATGGCATCGATTAGGGTGTTAGAGTATATGTTGTGTCCCATTCATAGTCGTTTTAAACATTTTGAAGGTCCTGTTTTAACTTAAAAAATAAAAAAAAAATATGAAATTTTAAAAATTTTAGATTATCTCAAAATATAGTCCGATTCCAATTATATTCTGTGAAACACCAAACCAAATTCTCAAACTACATTATCAAAGTTGTGAATAGTCCCAATACAACTTCAAACTAATACTACGTATTAATGTATAATCTTGATGAAATTGAAACATGATTGAAACACCTAATACTAGAGATATCAATTCGGATAATCGGATGGAGTTTGGGTCGGGTCTATTCAAGTCGGGTCTATTCGAGTCAGGTATGTTCGTGTCGGATATATTTGGTTTAAAATTACCCTTTTAACCCGCTTCGGGTCGGATCAGATTACTTTCGGGTCAGGTTAACTTTGGGTCAAGATCTGTCAAGTCCTGGTCGGGTTTGGGTCAGGCCAACTTCAGATTATTTCATGTTCAGTTCGGGTAAAATTGGATTGGGATCAAAACGGGTTTGATCAGGTCAATCTCGGGTCGGATGACTTTGGATCGAGTTGGTTTCGATTCGATTAATTTTGGTTCCGTAAAGTTTAGTTTGATTACTAAAGTTGATTCAGTATTTGGTCAATTAAAATTCAGATATTTTTAATGTTTGGCTGAATTTTGGTTGGTGACCAAATATAATATTCAGATAAGTACATTTTTAAAATTAGAGTAATTATTGAGTTTTTATCTTGTTATTAGGTCGATATCAAGTTATTCATGTGTCATTTTTTCATATCGTGTCATTAATATATGTTTAAGTAAAAAAAAGGTAAAAAATAGGTTAGGTTAAAAATTATGGTTAGTTTGAAATCATGTCAAGTCAAATCTGTTAAAATCGGGTCGGGTTATTATCGGTTCAGATAAAAAAACAGATCGGATTGAATCGGGTTTTTGTTGGGTCAATTTCGATTCGGAATGAGTTCAGGTCGTGTCCAATGACGGATCCAAGAATTCTAAGTAGGGGTAACATTTTAGCCAATGAACAATATAAGAGAAAAAAAGTTAGAAACAAGTAATTATATATATTATTGTTAATTAATTAGCCTTTAAATTTTTAAAATTTATTTTGTTTGATAAATTTTCATTTTACAAATATGGAATAATTTATATGCTAGTTATCAATATAATATAATGATTAAATTAAAAAGTACTCCATATGTTCAATAAATTATCTTTCTATGTACTCTGTTGTCTTCGTATATCATAAGTTTAAAAACTACTTTGTATTTGGTAACTTATACTAGTATATACTATAAATTTTCTTAATTGCTTCACTCATCACGTAAAACTAAATACTCCGTAGTAAATAAATTACTTACTAAATATGTGTAAAACAAAGTGCAATAAAATGGAAAGAATTTCATCAAATGAAGAAGTTTTTAAAAATAATAACCTACTCATTCCAAAAAAAAAAAGAAAAAAAAAATGGTATCATGTATGATGAATAAAAAATAATTAAAATATAAGTATTATTTTATTTTATAATTTAAAAATCATAAATTATAGTACTTTATTTTCATAAATTAAATGAAAGACTCGAAACAAAAAAATTTAATACATAATGTGTTTTGCAAACATATAAAGTAGAAGCAAAAGTTATATTAAAAAAAGAAAAGAAGAGAAAAAGAACAACAATAAGGCTCTTTAGTTAAAAGCTAATAGCAGCAGAAGTTGGTACGGAGTATGATTAATTTGCTATGGCTGAATCAAAGAGACCTGCTATACATAATAACAGTTCTCTTGGATCAACATTTTTTTTTTCCAGGGCCCCTTGTGCTTTTCTAGATCCGCCATTAATTATAGAGTTATGTAGTTTTATCAAAATTACAACCCTTAGCTTGTAGCTCCACAATTGCTATCTAGTAGCTCTAACTAACTATTTAGAAATTGCAAGCAAGGACCTCTTATCAGCGAGTGTGGATGCTCTAATAGAGTAACTAGCTAACGAGCTGAGGATTCTAAATATTATAAGCGTCTTTAATAATTAGGGGTGAGCACGGATCGGATATCCGTATCCGAAAATCCAAATATTTGATATTCGATATCTGATTCGAAAATTTCGGATAATATCCGATATCCGGCTATCCAAAATTCTCGAATCGGATAGTCTAGATATCCAATATCCGACCCTTTTTATTAATTTCTTTTTTTTTGAACAAATATTCGACCCTTTTTATAATATAGTTAAAATTCTAATTATTTGGAAAAATCTATTTATTTTTAAAGGCTAATTGATAGTAATTGAACTTCTAATAGAACACAAAAATGCAAGAGTCATTAGGCTTATTCTGAATTCTTTATAAAGAGACTGCAAAATCAAATTTGTAGTTACCAACTACAATTATACATATTTTTTAATCTATTAATTCCACAAATTACAAAATATGATAATCCCAAAATTCAGAATCTAAAATCAAAGTATAACGCATAAAAAACCCAAATGACAAACCAAATACAAAGTATTATTTTGGCATAAAGAACCTAAAATACTGCAAGGCTTGTGTATAGAACAAATAATCATTTAAACCCATTTTCAATTAAAAAAAAAATCAGCAAATATTTTAGATGTGTCCACTGTTAGGGATGTTAATGGGGCGGGACGGGGCGGATGTTGGCCTTCCCATCCCTATCCCCACCTAAGATTTCATAACCATCCCCATCCTCATCCCCGCAGCGGGTCTAAAATTCATCTCCATTCCCGCCCCACGTCCTATTTGGATATCCACCCCCATCTAATCCCCACTTAAGACCCGCCTAATCCCCGCCTCCTAAATACACAATCCTTTATAATTAATAAAGATTGCAAAAAGAAAAAAATTATTGTTAATATTACACATTTTTTTTGTTTATAATATAAGTGTATTACAAAGTACAAGTATTATATTTAATATTTTATTTTACATAATTTTTTTTATAAAATAGTATAAAATATACAATTTTGTTTTTAAAAATTTATGGATATGGAATGAGGCGGTACGAAGTGGGGCGGGGATGGGGTAGGTACAACCTAAAATCCACCCCTCCCCTATCACCCGCCAAACCAAGGTGTTGGGGCCGGGATTGGGTGGGTCTCCTATTTGACCCGCCCCACTGACATCCCTATGACCACTGTCCAGTGATGCGAAGCTTGAGAGTTTGAGTGAGAACGTCCGATAAGTTGCCTAATGGTTGAGAACGGACGGTGAGGTGTTGGTTGTGAGGTGAAGCCGCAGAGGTTGTGAGAACTAACGGAAGTATGAGCAAAGGACGAGATTGTCATATAATGAGAAACCGAAATCAAGTTTCAAATATCAAATAAATTCATCAATTAATAACTAATCGCATAAAACAACATAGATCTAAATATTAAACTAAAATGCAGTTTAAAAATCCTAATTCAACGAACTCAACTCAACATAAACATCATATTTCTCACAAAAACAACATGAAATTAACAAAAAAACCGAAGCAAAAATGATAGATCTAAAAAGAAGAGAGATAACCTGAAAAGAAGGTTACAAAAAAATGAAGCAAAAATGATATGAATTTATGAAGACGCCTTCTTTGAAAACAGGAAAGAGAAAGTAGCGAAGGAGGTTTTAAGAATGAGGGAAGAAAAAGGGCAGAGGTGCCAAGGTGGAGAGAGAAAGAGAAGAAGAGAGAGGAGAAAGAGAGGAAGATAGGCGGATGGGGGTCTGAGGTATTTATATTGGGGGTCTCCAATTTTAGGTTTTGATATGTTTTATAACATG